AAACATGAGGCGGCCTGGTACAGCACATTCAGTTGCCTGAGAACATCACAAACGAGAGATTCAGCGGGGTTCCAGGTGGGTCTCTCGAAAAACCGAATTAGTTCGCAAATGTGTGTATATTCGCTAAGGTTTTGGTACACTTTCTAGATACCGAAAAGAAAGCTATTTATCTGTAACACCCTTTTGGTGCCCAGTTGCGTTGACACCCGAGTGAACCTTGAGGGCTGAGATACGGCCAGGTTACCCAGGCCTAGACAGGGGAAAACGAGAGGCAGAGGTCGGGTTCAAACCGCAGACCTTCCGGTCAGCAAATCCGCGCTGACCGAGCCACCTAGCCCTTCGTATAAACAGTTGTCTTTTTCGAGAAATTGTTTGCAGACCCAAGTAGCACACAAAGCAAGTACACGCCAGGTCGTTTACCAGTCAGCTATCTAGATGAATTCATCTCGATGAAGTACCTCTGGGATTTCATTATCTGGAAAGGTCATTAGTTTCGTCATTCTCTACTTTTTTGCGCCATGAAATGCGATATCGTGCTCTCTTCGACAGAGAGGGTGATGTACTGGATAGTCTCACTCTCCCGTGATACACACAAGCGTCCTAATGAGCAGTTGTGATTGACAACCACGGGCACATTCGAGGCCAGTCAACCATTGTTTTCCGTTCCGCTTCACTCCATTGTCTACTCACAGTGGCGCACTTTGCATTCAGGGCTGTGTGGTTCGGTCTCCCGCAGGCGTGCACGAAAAAGCGCGATAGTGTTAGACATTAGTGGCGACTGGAATGGATGTCTGTCTGTGTGCGTGCGTGCGTGCGTCCGTGCATTTGTGCAATTTGCTCTGGTGTGTGGTTCTGCTCTAGACATGCACCTGAGTTCACACAAAAGCCTTTATGCGATTATTCCAGAAATAATAAAGTCGTGTGAAAGTTTCACGGGTGTAAAAAAAGGCAGTCTCTGGTTTCAGGGGGCCTGTCATAGCGACAACTATCATTCATATTGCAAACGAGATATCCTCTAAGCTTTCAAGATTTGAAAAATAACAGAATTAAAGAGATTGACTGTTTTATGTAAAAACGAAGTCACATGATTGCGTATTAAATCACAATCACTCCGCAAAATACTGTAGCCAATTCGTGTTGCTACACGTTTTGACTGGCGTTGTTGCGCCCTCAGTTCAATTTAGCCCTGGCTTTTGGGCATAGTCTGCAGAACACTACTGAGGTCACCTTATTTCACCATTTTGACCGACTTCTGCCAACCCTATCTTTCTATCTATCTAATCTATCTATCTAATCTATCTATCTATCTATCTATCTATCTATCTATCTATCTATCTATCTATCTATCTATCTATCTATCTATCTATCTATCTATCTATCTATCTATCTATCTATCTATCTATCTATCTATCTATCTATCTATCTATCTATCTATCTATCTATCTATCTATCTATCTATCTATCTATCTATCTATCTATCTATCTATCTATCTATCTATCTATCTATCTATCTATCTATCTATCTATCTATCTATCTATCTATCTATCTATCTATCTATCTATCTATCTATCTATCTATCTATCTATCTATCTATCTATCTATCTATCTATCTATCTATCTATCTATCTATCTATCTATCTATCTATCTATCTATCTATCTATCTATCTATCTATCTATCTATCTATCTATCTATCTATCTATCTATCTATCTATCTATCTATCTATCTATCTATCTATCTATCTATCTATGTGTACTTGTCATCTTTTATCTTCTGTCCTAATCCTTTTGTGTCGTTTGTCTGCCTTCCAGTCCTTTAAAGAGACCTTGCGGATCATCGTCGCCATGTATTCCAAAGATGAAGTAGTTGATGGACAACACTGATAGCCGAGTTTAGATGCAAACGACAGGTGAGCAGTTTTCTCCTGATAAGGAATGACCGTGGGTAACCCATGTCGCCCTTCCCATGTTAGTTGTTCTACTCCAAACCCGATTCTCTTGGAGTTTCACCTGAAACGATTGATCAAATCACATTTCTTTGGTCCGGTTCGCTGCATCGCATCTTTTGCTTAGTGTGACTTCCATCCAGTTCTCCGCTGCCAAAAGCTATGACCTGCTCAGTCAAAACGAATAGCTCCATTATTCGAGAAATACACTCATCTGCAAATCAATTTGGGACTGCGCCTACCTGATGAGTCCCGAGAAGGGCGACACTGGTCGTCGGCTGTCGAAGAGTTTTCAACAACCTTGTGAGTAGTTTCCTTCATAAAATTACACTGCGATATCTCAAATATCTTTCCAGCTGAATCATGAGGTGGCCTGTATGCAGCACATTCAGTTGTAGAATACCACAAACGACAGATTCAGTTGAACCTCTCGTGAAAACCAAATTGATTTGCAACTGAGTGTATTTGTCGAAAACAGTGCAATTTGGGTTCAAGTAGAACGCAAGATTGATGGAAACTCGGGGACTGCGCCTACCTGATGATCCCAGAGTGGAAGGGCGATACCGGTCGTGGGCTGTCGAAGAGTTTTCAGCAACCTTTCGAGTAGCTCTATTATTGTCCTAACCATGAACGAATTGCCGGAGAACTTCATCCAATGAGTGATACTCATTAGGGAGTACATTGTCTTGGTGACTTTTGGACAGCACACCAAAAAGATCACCTTTCAAGGAGTCAGCAGTCATGCCTAAGAGAAAAAGTGAAGTCACTGTTTTCCATGTCTAGGCACATCCGTAAGAAGCTATTCCACCAAAAGAAATCATTTGACACCGCTCTGAACCGTTATACATTGTACCGTTTTTATTGTGGTTTCATTTTAGGCCAAACTGGGATCGCAGCTGGGAGATACTCGCAAAGATGAGCAGCAGAGCTGTGTTGTCTTATATCCACAGTCATTAGTTGGTACAACAATGAGATGCCCCAAGAGGGTACTGAAACGGTCACATCTGTTCATCCCGATGATAGTGAAGAGAGCGTGGCTTCCTCATGAACCTCATTGATTCTCCTGGTCATGCTGAGGTCACGGACGCTCTCCGTGCTCCCGATGGTGCCTTTGACTGTGTCTCTGGTGTTTGCGCGCAAACAGAAACCGTCCTTCGCCAAGCGATTGTGGAACCCATTCTTTTCATGAACAAAATGAATATGGGTGTGACCACTTCGAGCTGCGATACAGAGGAGCGTGTCCTTGAGAAAGTCAATACAATCACCGACCAGTTTGAAGAACTGGATGGGACCATGGACAATATTTCTGCTCCTCCCACCGACGGAACAGTTGATTTCGATTCCAAGCTTCTTGCGCGATCACCCTGAGGAATTTCGTGAGAGTGTATGCTTTTAAATTTGGAATCGGAGTAAAACTTCGATGAGAACATCCGTGGTTTCAATCAATACGTGCTGACTCCCATCCATACTGTTCGAGACGCCCAACCCGACAAACAGCGTCTAAAATGCGTCATGCACAAATGACTTCTCGCCGGTGACTCTTCCCTATGGAAATGAGTTGTGTTCACCTCCCTAGCCCTGTTGTCTCTCAGGTCTATCCGGTGGAAATGCTATACGAAGGTCCTCATGACGACGAGGGGGGCACTGGCCGTGAAAAAATGGTGATCCAATCGGTCCGCTATGTCAGCAACACAGTTCCAGCCTCGGATAAAGGCTGGTTCTTCAGTCGTGTTTTCGCGGGCGCGACTGCAACTGGTCAGACGCTAGGGGTAACAGTCAATACAATGATGTGCAAGCCTTCTTTTGACAAAGCAAGTTATGACCGTTTTTGTTTCGACCAGACCGGTTCACAGCAGGCAACCCTAAAGGCATGACTTTGGTGCATCTCCGACTAACTCTAAAAATGGGGAAAAAGAATTGAGGTGAACTAGTGAGATCCACTTTCAGCGGGGTGATATCAAGAAAGTTAGTGTGGCGGAACGAACAGGGACGGCACGTAACAACGAATCCACCCCACTCTATGGAATCTTACTTCCGTGTCCAGGTGCGAACTCACGTACAGCATTTACGAAAAAATAGGTTATCTTGGTAGATAATTACAAGTTTGGAACACATGTCGCAAGTTTATGATTTCAAAATGTGATCTTCAGCCAGACACAAGGAAGAAAAATCATTTGATTGCAATGTAAGTGTGTTTTAACTCCTGGCGAACATAGTTACCATAATTACAGGCGAAAACCGATAGAATAGAGTATTGGGAACATAAGACAATGCAAGTGGGTCATTTAAACTACCATCCCCAGTTTAAAGACAAGCGTATCGATCTGAAAGCCGTCTCCCACGACAGTGAAAGGTAGACATGAGAGGGCCAACTAGAAATCAGATCGATGGAAGGAAGTTTGAATTGTCACACGGGGATCATGGTGTAAGGCCTTCGCATTCCGCGCAAAACGGGACACCACCAAAGAGTAAAACATCCAAAATGGGCTCCAGTAAATAAATGTTGGTCCCCGGAAAACGCACTAATCAGCGTTTCCTTCTCGGTCAGATTACCTAACCGAGAAGAGGTACGGTCTTTCCGAATTCAGAACACACTTGTAAGCCGTCTCCTTGTTACTTCTTTCCGTAACTGATGCCCTGCTATCAACCTGTTCGACTTGATTTCTATCACCAAAGGTAGCGTGCTTCCCTTCTATCGTTCGAAACTTACCTTGAAGACGGCACGTCCTAGCATGCATTTATAACGTCGACAGTACACTAGACTAGCTGTACAGTGGTTCAGATGGGTCGATAACTCTAACACCGCAGAAGACAATGCAACAAATCTCTTACATGCGCTGTCCAACATAAAACAGTGGCCCCCGTGAACTCCTTTCCTCGGCAACAGGATGTTTGTCGACAGTCTTTGAGTATGAATGTGGTCAAAACAATACGTCATACCAATCAAACCTCTACCAGCGGTGGGGGGTGGGAAGCCTCAGTTCCAAAACAGTGAGTTGGCGAAACTCCAAGCTGGACGTTACCGAATTCTAGTCAATACGAAGAGCCTATTTAAATTTATTGGCGAAGACTGGGCCAAACTTCACTGGATAACATTGACGTACTGAGGCATTTTTAACAAGCAAGTTGATGGCTGAGTCCTTATTTTCAAACAAACAATTCAAATGCTTTCAGCTAGAACAGCAAGCTTTCTGTACCGAACAAATTCATCTTTCTGGAGCTAAAAAACGTCAAAAACGTAAATATTCCTTGTGATCATACATAAGACCGCACGAATGATCAAAATATCCAGGGGTTGCTTGCCTCATCAACCGCAAGTATGTGCGCTTTCCCACACGCATGCAACATGCTGGGGGGGAGGCTCAACTGAATTTACTGACCGGAAGGTCCGTGGTTCGAACCCGACCTCTGCCTCTCAACTTCCCCTGTCTAGGTTTGGGTAACTTGGCAGTATCCCAGCCCTCGTGCTTCCTTCGGGTGGCATGGCAGCTAGGCACCGAAAAGGCGCTAGAGCGGAACAACTGTTACCATACAACAGCATTGCTTACAGGTGCCGTGGTAATGTTTTGGTCAGGTCAGTCTGGTCCACCCGGACTGTTTACTCGTTGAGCTGCCGTTTGTAGTCATAACTGAAGAATTTGTACAACCCGTGAGACTTTAAGGATGACACGTGAGTGAAACTCGGATTCAGTGTGAATTTAAATGCACGATCCGGTCGAACAAAGTCTAGAAAATATCGCGAGACTTTGCTGTCCCTAAAGCGTAGCATAGAGGCGTAATTGTGATGTATCAGTGGAAAAAAACTGCGAATTAGCGCACGAGATACATTCTCAGTTCCGCAAGTCTTTTGTGACCGGATGTCTTTGCACACTACAAATCAGCAGAAAGGAGTGGATGGTAAGAATGCCAGAACAGTTAGTCACTGTCAGCTGAGTATGCCTCCACTCACCATCGCACACCCGAGTGACACCCGCAGGACATCACGTGAATATCGGTGACCTTCAGAATTTTGTATGCGATTATTCGCTGACCTAGAGTCCATCATGATCTTGGCATGTGAAATCTCTTGCGTTGGCACGAGTCCATGTCGTCATGGCTGGGAGATCCGTAGCCAACCAAATGTCCGCCGCACCCTCAAGGCATCGTTTTAAGAGTCTCGTAAGCACAACTGCAAAACGGATGGGTTGATTTGGTGATAGACATAAGGACACCTGAATGCCTGGAAACATCACGAACGAAAGGTTTAGATGGGTTCCAGGCGAGTCTCTCTTGCAATTTGGTTTCAAGTAAAACATAAGGTTGGTGGAAACTCGGGGACTGCGCCTATCTGATGAACCCGAAGTGGAAGGACGAAACCGGTCGTGGGCTGTCGGAGAATTTTCAGCAACCTTATGAGTAGTGTATTGCGTACATATAAAAAGATCCTGTTCATACGGTGTCTGCTACTTTGTGAAACTCGTGACAGACCCTCGGATCTCAGAGAAAAAGAAGATGTTCTCCCGAAAGGTTCTCTCTTGGTTTGTTCGGATCACCAATACACTGTCCAAAATTGTTCACACCAAGTACAAATGGAAGAAAATATTCGGATCAACAGTAGTCTCATCCATCCACCATGCACACCGGTACAAATATTTTCCTGCTCAAACAGTATCACAAGCATGCACATACATCTGGGGTTCCGAAAACGTACGATCGATAAGCCCACACATGGTAGATTTTTTCCGCTCCATGTTATTCGTACGTTGTCCCACCTCATCAACTTTTTGGCACGGCCATTAGCTATGCACTACTGATGAGCTAGAGTGAAATTTGAGTCAAGTGCTTCCAAGTGTGTACTCAAGAGGATGATTGTATGAGGAAAGGAGGATGATTGTTCAAAAAAGAGTCATGTGATTAGGTATTCTACAAAATCCCTCAGCCGCCAGAACCTGAATGCTCTGTTTTCTGTTTGTTTGTGCGTCAGCTGATATGCCCAACCAGATGTAGGAGACAGATTACAGTAGCGACCTTGTGAAGCGACCGATTAATCAATATTTTGAATTGGCCACGGCTTACTGGCCCTTCTGGACCGAGGACTGAATTTCCAATCACGTTTGTGTCAGAATCCATATGGGAATAAGTGAAAAATTTCCAGAAGTTTCTCGTCCGACTTTTAATAAGGCTGTGTTTACGCGAACCAACGGTTGTTCTGGGACTGGGATATCTGTGTAAGATTTCATTCTCAAGTGCAGTCAATGGAAGATGGGGTAGTTGGGATTTCGTTGTGAGCAACCTCAATTTTTCGGTACAAATTGTCATTTTACTATGGCCAGTGCCTACAAGGTGAAAGATCGATTACTATGAAACGAAATCTCAACCAGTCACTCCAGACTCTGAGTTGTACGTGTGCCCCCCGTTTCCCTCAGATATTTCGATATTCACTTGTACGTGGTTGGAGACACTTCGTTTTTTTACATAAAATCTGTGATAGGGAGTCTCACCCTCCTGACTGTCTCCTCCACTGATAACAGACAGAGTGAAACTCATCTTGGTGAGGCGGTTTCTGTACCCGGATAACTTGAAGCGAGATGGCTCAATGGTTAAAGCGCGAATTTACTGGCCGGAAGATCCGTGGTTCGAACCCAACCTCTGCCTCTCGACTTCCCGTATCTAGACTTGGGCAACGTGGCAGCATCCCAACCCTCGTGCTTTCTTCGGGTGGTATGGAAGCTTGGCACCGACCAGGCATTACAACTGAACGATTACCTTTCAGTGATTTTTGGTTACATATTTCAGTCAACTTGCTCTACAGAAAACAATGTATTCATCGCTTCCGTTTATATAATTTGCAACCGGGTGATTACTGCGATTCGCACTGCTCATGTTTTCCGATAAGTATAAGACGGCCTTAGTCCGCCTTTCGAATTTTCAACATGGACTGATTTTATTTTCACAACGAAGTATTGTGTTAACCGAGGTTTCTCGGTGCACCTTCGTTCTTTCCATACCGTTTCCGGGCAAATATCTAAAACAATAGTACGTTTATTTTTCCAGATATCCAGCTGATATTGCTAGAGAGTGCCAAATGCATTTGCATTCTTTCTAGAAGGCGATTCTATCAACATTCTGTATGAAATATTTCTGAGCTTCACACTTTCCCAACAACCCCTGTCCAAGTTTGCGGAAAAGCATAGAGCTGCTAAATCACGACTCCTATGTGTTGTATTCGATGGCCTTGAAATGATGTAATAAATCACGGTTCACTTTAAGAGAAATATGAGATAATCATGTTCAATTTTGTAGTTGCAATGGTCGAATGTCGGATCTGTTTGAACATCCTGTCTTATTCCTAAGTGACGGTGTGTATACAAGTTGTGTGTGTGCACTCAGTGTAGCACACCTGCAACAGTTTATCCAAGTGAAAAAAATGAAATCTGGAAGATCACTTTTATCCTGTAGTAATTGAACATCTGGTATAAACAAAGTGACTTTTTACCAGTAATTTTCTTATGTTGCCTCGTAGCAGTGACGAACAATCGGTTTCACAACTGCTTTCTCGTAGTGTTGTGAGCGTGAGGGGGGTTCACTCTGATCAACGCTTCACAGAGATTTGTAGTACATACTGTCCAAGGAGGTATCCAAGGTGACCTCACTTGCTACAGGGAAAGTTGCTCGTAATGAGACCCCCCAACAATGGAAGCCAAATGAAGTGCTAGTCATAAATATGTGTGAAACTTCCACGGGCAAGGAAGTTTAGTATCACCATTTCAACCAATACTGAGCAAAGATGGAAGTGGTCCGTAGGCATCACTCGACGAAAACTCAGAGCAGTACGTTTGGAAGACATTGAAAGCCCATCCAGTTAACTGTCCGGATATCCTCTAGTTGACAAGTT